TGCATTCCTAGTTGACACAGAGGACATATTTTGTGTTTTCTGGTGCCAAAACACACCAAAGAATTAGGTGCTAGAATGGAAAATGAGTTTTCTCCATTTCCTGATTACTTTCACAGGCGTTCTTATTATCTTTAACTTTCCTCTTGTAAAATACACACACGCAGACACACACACACACACACACACACACACACACACACACCCCAAGAGAAATTACTGGGATCTTTATTTATATCTTATAATAACCTTTATTTCTTGGTTTTCACAGGAAGAGATGACTACATTAAGTGTTTGGAACTCCCCGCTGCAGGATACAGGGAAACACTGGAAACTGTGGGTAGGCTAAGCATGGTAAGGATAAAATTAGCCTTCAAGCATATGACTACCAGGAAAGTTATAAACTACTAGAATCCAGATATCATGGGTTGTCAACAGGGAGTAAAACACGCAATAACTCTTTTTAAATAGACACAAGATAGGAAATATGTCCTCTGCTCACAAATGTGGGATGGCAACTCAAGCAGGTTTTTATATTCCTATAATCACTAAACTCCACTTGCCAATACTAATGTTTGAGTAACTACAAGGAAAGACTGGGGTAAATGCTGTCCTCCTGATGGCCTCAGAAGGCACAAATGCCTGGATTTGCAAAGAAGTATTGAGAGAACAGGACATCAATATCAATCCCAGATAAACCTCTGCCTCCAGTTAGCAACGTTGATAATCCATGAATGAAAAGACTACTTGGGACTTCTGGCTTTCCCTTTTCCCTATTTCTGTGCAGATGTAAACAGCCCATGGGGGTGGCTGACTTTTCAAAGTTAGTATTACAAAGCCTGAGATACAAATAAAAATGATGAAACTGACAATCATCTTCCGCTTACCAGCTCTCAATCAAACACTTAGCTTTGAAACTCATGGATTTCTACATTTTGTTACAAAAAATGTTTACTATGTACAATATGACGGGAAAAGAACAACAGTGAGATCAAAGAGTGGCTGATGCTAATCAGAGAGTTGAATGTAATCAAAGGGCTTGGGAGACTGCAAGGCAAAAACACTAAGAGTATCCTCAGCTATCACTCAAAGGCTGTCTTCCAGATGTGTAAAATTTCAAAGGAGCTTTTGGTCACGATGCTTTTTACTGTTATGAATATATCAATGTCATCAAAAGCAGTTGTCCTCTAACACCAAGAGGATAATTTAATAATATTGAAATTTTATAATATTTAAGTGAACATTAATAATTAGAAAGGTATAGAAAATTTTATATTAGAGATCATATTTTTTAATATTTTATATTATTTATATAATTGATATTTATTCATATATTTTTCTAATCATTAACATGCATGTAATTGTTCTTAAGTGTACTAAGATCTTGAGGATTTTCCTCAATAGTGGGTCTAGTTATGGAAAAAAATAAGATTCTCTGTTTATCCTCATTTGGAATTTAAAAGTTGCATAACATGTTTGTGGAGTATAAGTAGAAGTGTAAGTATAAGCCAAATGCATTTAGTAATTTAAAAGAATCTTTCCAAAACAGATGGATATTAATTTCTGCAAAGTCTAGAAGGGACTAAACCAGGAATCGATGAGTAGCAATGAACAAGAAGTGAGTGAGTTTGATGACAAGAACAGCTAAAATGACTATCAGAAGATGTGGATTCTCCTGACTCTGCCATGAGCCTCCTGGATGACCTTGGTCAGCGCAAGTAACAAACATTTATTGGGAATCATGGAAGACTTTACACATTCGAGGTAACAAAAAGATGAACAAGATCTGGTTCCTGCTCACAAGAAGTTCATGAGCTTGAAGGGAAGGGAAGGCATACAATCATAACTTGCATATCACAGAATGAGACAAAAAGGAGAATAAACCAAACCCAATGACAATTTAGAAAAAGGAAAGACTACTTTCTGTCTGAAGAGGAGAGAGTTTAAAGGAAGATTTTACGGACAAGTCACGTCAAATGAGCCTTAAAGAACATCACAAGATTCTGCCAAGGAATCCTAAAGGTAGAGGGCCTTTTAGAAGCAGTGGAAGAGAAACTTGAAGTATGAGGTAACATTCATAGCTCCCAGGCTGAGTTCGGTGCCCAGGTGTTTTTAGCCTGGACAAGAGCTCACCAGGCTCACTTCATCCCCAGAACTCCCTTTCGGACACACACCTACTGGCCTTCCTCGATACATCATCTGACCGGCTCTGCAGATGTTTGTGTCCGTGACACCTGTAATAGGGATTCATCATTATCAAGATAAGAAGTCTAGACAGTACCTTCTAAAGAATTGAGAGAGCCAATGAAAGCTGAGTCAGAAGAATCAAGATCACAGCTGTGCCTTAGAAAGAAATCTCTAGCAGCACTGCGGGGAATAGACTGAAGGAAAGAGGGGCAGTGGCCAAGAAAGAGAGACAGTAGTGGAGAGGTGATCATCTGGAGAAGGGATCACAAGGACCTGTGCTGGGACAGAGGAATGGAGACAAAGGAGAAGTATGGATTTCAGAAATGACTTGATGGTCAACTGGATAATCTGGTGAGGGAGGGCGTGGGATCCATGGCTAATTTACACTTCTTAATTTCAGTGTCCAGGTGAATGTTGATGTCACTAACAGAGAGAAGAAAAGAAAAGGAATAAATGTGATGAGGAAGATAATGTATTCACTGAGGGATATGGTGAGTCTGAAGAGCTTATATGACATTGAAATAGGCAAATCCAGAGTCGCGATTCTCAACAAGGGACGACTTTGTGCCTCCCCTCCCACCACATACAGGGGACATTGAGAAATGTCTGGAGATATTTTGGGTTGTTATCACTAGGGAGGGACGTGTTATGAGCATCTAGTAGGTAGAGTTCACAGATGCTGCCAAACATCCTAAAATGCACAGAACAGTCCCTCACAAGAAAGGATGATCAGGCCAAAAATGTCAACAGTGTAGAAGCTGAGAAATCCTGATCTAGAGGTACTAGGAACTTCACATCTGGAGTTTCAGAAAGTAGGAAAGGATAGAAATGAGAACTTTTAGTCACTCATACTGCAGTGAGAGATGTGAGAGAAAATTAACCACATTAAGAGTGCATCGAAAAGAAAGAGAAGTAGGTGGCTGATAAAATCCTAGCCAATATCACCTCACCGGCAAAACAAGCTCATTGGGGTGAGGTAAGGTCCCAAACACTTTCATATTCAAAATGCAGTGATTTGATGACTGTTCTCTGAAAGCGTGTACCCAAGAAGACAGATATGAATGAGGTGGTAAATCATGGAGCAGATCAGTTCAGTTATGATGTCCAGAAAACCTAACATTGAAGATACATTCCAATCTGTAGCAGGGAAACATTGTATGTGGTCTAAGATTTTCATCCGCAAATTTGTTATAACTTGGTCGCAGAACCACACTACTGTAACACAAGAAAATTAAATAAAGAGGAGAAGAAGGAAGAGGAGGAGGAAGAGGAGATGGGTGAAGAGAAAAGAAAGAAAGAGGAAAGCAATGGAAACAGGAGAAAAGAGGTGGAAAGGAAAAAATAACAATAGAGACAAGGAAAGGGAAGGGAAGGAACACCGTAGGGACATCCTCTACAGACAGAATAACGGTGTGAGGGCAGGTCTAAGAACAAGACTAGTGGCCATCCTTGACAATTTTGTGGAACTGTGATATGGGAATACATTCCACAGAGAGCAAGATCTGCGTCTTGAACGGTATCATCACTGTTTTTTCAAAAGCTGTAGTAACACTAAATGACAAAACAGTAACCAACACTTGTACGATTCTCCAGTACTTAAATAAATTTTGCTCTCACTGTGCTCCAGGGGGCTCGGCAGGTGTAGGGAAGCCCAAAGCAGGACAGGAGATGGGGAGGTAGTGTGCTCCAAAACAAAAGAAGGCACGAATATGCATCAGGGGCAAGCTGGCAGCCTTGGACTGCTGAGCAGAGGCAAAAAATAGTCTGCAAGAAACAATTAGGAGATGGTCCTTTCCCATTCAAATGGTTACATAGCCCACAAAGTCTACCTGGAAACAAAAGGCTACAGCAGCAAATCAAAGGATGCATGCTGAACAGCAAAGAGCGCGGAGAATGTGTGCACAGGACAGAGGGCAATACGAGGGTGCCAGAGCCAGTTAGATCTTCAATTCCAATCCTGGCTCCACCATTAGCTAGCTCGATGCTTTTGTAAGGAGCAGAATGTCTCTGAAATTTAGCATCCTTTCTGATAAAATGCGAATGATCAGCCTCCTAGGAGTGCTGTGATAATTAAATGAGATCACGTATGTGAAGCATTTAGCACACCAGCTGGTAGCGGGTAGGGACTCCGCCAGTGGAAGGTGCTGTTGAATAACATCTGAATTCTATTATTCTAAGCAACGACCGAGAAAGAAAAAACAATAGGACTCGCGTTCCAAGTCAACCCAAATAGAATACATTAAATAAGGTAGCACATTTGAAAAGTGAAATCTTCATTTTCTATGAAAGGCAATTAACTTTTATGAATTTATAGAACTGGAAGCAGCCTTCAGAATTCTGGTCAAATTTCCTCATTTACTGATGGGAAAATTGGAGAAGGTAATGAAAAGGCTGTTGTAGTTTGGATGTACATGGGCCAAAAAATATTTTAATTAAAGGAAGGTTATTCGTCATTTTTTTGGATAACACAAGATGAAGGTGGGGTTAGAAAATTACAGTTCATAGTTTTATAAACACACACACATATACATATGTGTACACATACATATATATATACCTCTATGTGTAAATATACACATACATATATATATTTTAGAAATAATAGCATTAATCTGGGGAGATGTCTAGCAAAAAGCTATCCTTAGCTTTCTGTGAAATTGAATAGCCTATACCACCCAAATTCCCCCATCTGTAAAGTAAACATATCTAATAAAGTTCTTGGATGCTCCTTGGAGTCCTGAATATAAAGGAGCTGCAGAAATAAACTGGTGATCACAAGGGATGTGCTTCCCCCAAGCCACAGCCAGGTCACTCACCTGTCCAGGAGCAAGTTAGGAGCAAATAGGAGCTTTCCTGGGTGCTCCATGGAGCGCCAGACAAGACCAATCATCAGGATCTCTAGCCAGGCACATTCCAGAAGGTGGACCTGATCATGGAGGGACAAATCCACAAAGCCTGAAACAAGATAAGAAAAACCTTGCCGACTTAAAATGAAAAGTAGTCATTACTGGTGAAATGAATGCAACCAGGGATTTGAACTGGTAGGGTCTATCTTCCATTAATAACATGTAATAGAAACACACTTGATAGGAAAGTCAAGTAACTATTTTTTAAACCTAGTATATCAATGAATTTTCATGTGGCATTAAGTTTCTCAGGGCCGTAGTGTCACATCTACAGAAATACGCTAACTTAGGCAACCCACTTAGCTTTCTATGAAGTTCTCTACTTAAATAATGTTGAAATTTGTATTCTTTTTACTTAGAAATGTCTGATAGCCCTATGTGAGTATGATATTTCATTTCTGTCTCAGTTGAAGGTATTTAGGTGCAAAATATTTAAATTACTTGCCTTAAACCAAATAGGAATTGGAACACAGGCAGGAACAAAGTCACTAAATTTCTCTTTCTTTGCTTCATCATTAAGCTGTCCTCTTTTTTTCACAACATGGAAAAGAAAGGCTAATGAAATAGCATATGTAAATAAATCACTTGGGGGAGAAGGAGGCAGATAAATAAAGGTGATATCATGATGACTTCTGTAATAAACACAAAATGTACCCTTGTTTTCTAGTGGCTTATTGGGAGATTAAAGCTTTTTCCAATCACGGACAATATGGTAGATGCCTAATAAGAAGAATGAGAAGGAAGCGAGGGGAAGAAGAATGAGAAGGAAGCGAGGGGAAGAAGAAGAAGAGGAAGAAGGAGGGAAAGAAGGGAAGACCAATTTATCGAGCCCTTACTATGGGTTAGAAACAATGTTAAGTACTTCCTGTACAAATTTTCTTTAATATTTATTAATGCAATAACTCTAAGAGGTAGGAGCTGATGGGGATATCATTTCAAAGATAAGAAAACAGATGTTCAGAGAATTTATATATTTGTTAAGGTCAGAGACGGGAATATAATCTCCAGAACCTGTGGCCTTGACCACAATTGACACTACCTCTTATAAGCTGCAATTATAGAATTTGGATCAAATGACTAAGTAAATACAACCACATAAATTAAGATATGCCAAAGGGAGAAGGGCATTAAATAAACAAGACAGTCGTAAAGTTTGCTGCTTTCTAAATCAATTCCTTGTTGTTTTGCCCTGAGGTATCGCATCACTGTCTATTTCCTCCCTCTCTCTCTCTCTCTCTGCCTTCAACCCTTTGTTCTCTTATATTTACTAAAAAGCCAAAACATGTTTCTTTTCCTTAAGTAGTCAAGTATTGATGGTTTGCCTACTGGATGTTTCTTCCTGAGGGTCTTGGAGCTATCACAGGATCAGCAGTAAACAATGAGCTCGTCATCTCTTATATACTTAAGGGCCATCTTTCACATAATCCCCCACTAATTAAGTGATGATCCACGTAGAGAAACCCAAGCTAGAGAAACACCTCAGAGTCTATGCCCCTCTCTAGCCATCACCCCATAATCAAGCCTCGCCAATTCTATCTTTGACGGAATGCTAGAATTCTTTCTCTCATTATTATATTCCCACTGCTATTATTTTAATTTAATTCCCAAGAGCCTCTCACCTTCCTGTCTGACTTCTTTAACTCACCATAATTATTTTGAGACTCATCCATGTTCTTGCATATGTGAATAGCTGATTCTTTTTATTGCAGAGTGGTAATCCATTGTATGGATATATCCAACAAATAAACACAATTTGCTTATCCTTTCTTTGGACATTTGGGTTGTTTCCAGTTTGGGGCTATTAACAATAAAGCTTCTATGAGCAATCTATGTACAAAATTTTGTATGGACATAGGCTTTCATTTTTCTTGGGTAAATATTAAGAGTCCAATGGCTGGATCATATAGTAGGTATATTCAAAAGTGTTTGTTCCATTTTACATTCTCACCAGCAATAGGTGAGAGCACCATTTGCTCCACATCCTCACCAATACTTGGTATGATCAGTCTTTTTAATTTTAGATATTCTAGTAGATGTACAGAGGTATCACACTGGCACTGTGGTTTTAATTTGCATTAATGACTGATGATGTGGAGCATCTTTTCATGTGCTTCTAACAGATCATTATCTTACACTATATTTATATTAATTATGCATGTAGCTGTAAATCCTGCTAGACTGTGTACTCATTAGAAGTACAAGATCCATGATTCTATCAAATCCTGCTTTTTTAAACTCCAAATTTATTTCACCTCTGCTACATCACTCAGCTATGCCAAGGCCCAAAGCAGTGTAGTGTTCATCAGAACAATTGTCTTCCCATTGAAAAGAATGGGTTCCACTCACATAAACCAGGATTTGCAGCTGGAGAGAAAGTGGGCAGCTTTGTTCATAAGGAAAACTAAAGGATTAAAAAACAGTGACTGGGTTTCAGTTCTCCTGGGGAGAAAATGGTACAGGAATCTTTTTTTACAGCCTGCAGCTGTAAATACCTGCAGAGGGCATTGGGTCAAAATGGACTGGCCTTGCTCTGGAAGAAACGCTGCCTAAGGCAGCAGGAAATTTTCTCTTTCTCAGTACCCAGTGTCTAATGGGATACACCAACTCCGGTAAGCAGCACGTAAAAGGAAAAACCATAGGAAAGTTTTAATTCTCTAAGATTTCACCCCAACCTTTTGGGTGAAGTCTCATAATAGCAATATAAATTTACATTGCAAATTAAACTTGCTTTCAGAAATGTTAACATTTAAAAGTGAGCGCTTTTCTGTTTTCTCATGACATTCCTTGTTTTATGTGGAAAAAAATATAATTACATGATAATATCACCCATGATGAAACCTACACCATGTTATTCATTCAATACCCTCCATAAACCTGGAACGATCACACAAGATGAGATTGGGGGTCTCTCACAAGAATTGCAACTGAACATATAGTCAAACAATTTTGGAAACCAAAGGAGCGCTTTCTGGTGGAAACTTTACATATTAAACTGAATCATACTTTTTAATTCTCCCTTCGAAACTTCAGTGCTATTTAAGTCTGACAGTTTTAGTGGTCTTTTGGGAGGCTAAGAAGCTCACCATAACCGTTTGTACCACACAAGTCTGGTGATTATGAAATCTGTCTGAAGTATGCCAGTTAGTTTTCAGTCTGAGTATAGCAGAATTGCTGGGTCCTTCTGTTGAAATGATGTAGATCTCTCAAAAAGAAATAGTCTATTTAATTATCTTTTTCAGCTGTGCATATTGGCTGCAGACAAGGCATATTGTATCTCCTGCACAGTGTCCTCTGCAAGTTCCTGGGGCAGGGTTGGGGGGAACATGTAAAGAAGACTGTCAATTAACTTTCTCAATGGATGTGAGGGCTACTGAAGGAAGTTATTAGATGGAGTGTCTCCTTTCTTCCACTGTACTGATCTCAATATTATTTTAACCATACAGGAACTAAATGCCCTTTTGGTGTAGATTAATGTCCATTAATACTCTCAATTCATAACCAATAGAGAAAAATAATGTAATAAATTCCCAACAAAATTACATTGGGCCAACTATCTACAGACATCCAGTTTCAATCCCTTGGTTTATTTTCCTCATAAACAGGAAGGATGATCTAATATGCAATTTCAACCGGATCTGCTATAGTAACTTAGAGGCATTCAACAAGCAAATTCCGTTCTTTCTCAAACACTTGAAAGTGTTGCCAATATGAAGATGGGAACTAGAAGCTCCTATGAGATGTGAGTAAAGGCATCAGTGAAAGATTTTCTTACACATGACACAGTGAGAGGTGACTCACCCCCCATCACTTGGGGACTCTCGTCTTAGTGACAGTGACAAGGGGGCTGCGGGCCTGTGGACGCCACACCAGTGAGATAGAAGGCATACCTCAAAAGCAGTAACAATAGTTTATTGAGACCAGGTAAAATCAGATATTCAGAAATCTCATTTTATAAAATAAAATTTTAAAAGAAAGTAAACATGGGTCTTTTTCTCTGGTCTATTTTCACAGGTCTAGTAATAAAGTATCCAGAGACAGGATATACTAGAAACAGATCAAAATGCCTCGTCCTACTCCCTACCCTCTGTATGGGCAGGGATCTAATGAAGTCGAAGGCAGCCTCTTTCATAGAAAAAGACCCTCCCTGTACATACAACCAGCTCATTATTTCCAGCCTCATCACCAAGTAAAGACATTCCTGCCTCTGTCCTCTATTATAAAGTAAATGTTTCTCCTCCAAGATTTGGAGGAGAAGTTTTGACTGTGAAAGGAGTTCATGGCGTGTCTTTCTCCCCTCCTTGGGCCTCATGAGATCCCAAGCCCTCTACCCCACTCTGCTAGGGACAGCCATACAAATTGCTTCGTTAATGCCTTGACACACAGGAGATCCCTACAGCCTCACCCACTCTTCCTGAGTATGGCAAGGCTCTTAGAAATGATGTTGAAAAGTGTACAGAGATCCTTAGGCAAAATGACTAATATGGATGCTTGTAAAGTTCTGCACTGCTGTGGAGTAAAAGATAAATCAGAGTGACTCTTCAGTAGAAACATGAGAAAAACAAGCACTATTGTAATTACATTTCTTATTTCCACGGGATCCAGTCTATGGAGATGGAACTTGATGCAGAAGCCCAGTGAAAGGCAGTTTCCTCAGGGGCATGCTCTCTACAGAACTAGAAGCCAGGTGGTTGGTCCCTTCAGTAAATCCACTGGAAAAAATATTAGTTTCCTGACCTTCAAAAAAATTAATCATGTTTTCGGTCATATGATGAGCCCAATGTTCCACAAAATGTCAGTTATGAAATTGCCCGTTGTATTCTTTCTGTATTGCCTTAACTCAATGGAAGAAGATTTAAATAATTCATCTCTTTTCCCCTTGATGCCAAAGACTCAAAAATAGAATAAGAAATAATGGAACATGAGACTGTAGCACAATGACAGATACAACTTGAATAAAACTTGGGATTTCTGGGAGAAAGCCTATAGAATAGATAACAGCAGAAGAATCTAGATCCCAGTTCAAATGCTAAGCAGTCTTCATGTCCTCCA